GTCTGTATATTGTTTCAGGGTGCACATGTACAAAGTTTCATTATAATGTGATGATTAATCCTAAGTAAATTATTATGCAAATTAGGTAATTATTTTAGATGTATATAAACCTAAAACTAATTACATCATCACATTGTGTTAGAGTACACATGTACCAAGATTCTTTGAATTAAGAAAAGTACTGTCAGACCTTCTTCTGTATGTACGAAGTTACATTGAAATGTGATTATGATTTATTATGCAAATTAGGTAATTTATCTGATTTTAACCCAAAACTGAGCGGGTCTGTGCATTGTTCTGGAGCATCAATGTGCCAAGTTTCATTGAAATGGGATAATTAGTACTTGCGATATCAGTGTAAAAGCCAAAAATAATGCAAATTAGTATATTAATATTAACAGTCGTTGGATTCTTCTAGAGCATCTATGTACCAAGTTTCATAAAAAAGTAATGAAGTAATAGTTGTTGAAATATCAAAAGCTGAAAATTGATTAATATTTCACATGTCTATGCATCGTCCTATGTTACATTAAAAACCAACATACGGGTATCAGTGGAACGGACAGACACTCTCACAAATGCATACAGACTGGGTAACGACAAAGACTACCATTGTGTGCTTTGCACACGGTTGTCAAAAATAGAGAAATAATGACAGTCCTCTGGAAATGTTATTCATACCAAAAAGCAGAGTGAATAATTGGCTGGTCAAGTGGAAAGAAATTAGATGTATTAAATGACTCTTCCAAAATTGTAATATATGGTCAGAAATTATACAGGAATGCTATTTATGTATCAAATTTGAAAACTGACAAATCCTGTCCAAGATAGATGCCAGTCGGCTATATTTGATCTGATTACGGAACAAACTGTCATGAATATCTATTCCAATATGTACAATGTTTCAAAGAATGGGGCGAGTTTGCTATCTTAATGTTTGAACACCTGCCACATCTTTTTAAAAATAGTTTAAAATCTGCTCTATTGCATGTAGTTGCCGAGATTTGTAAACAGATTGCATACATAAAATCATCCATCCAAGATCATCCACTCAACACTGAGGGCGCTGTACCTTGTTAATAATTGATACACAATTTGCTGTCTAAACGAGTCAACCAGTGTTTGGCTTTGAACTGGATGCACCCAAGTTAATTCCACAAATATGTGAATCAAGTTATTTACAATAAATTAGCTCTTCACTAGTGTAAATATTGGGACTATGAATAATGAGATTACGAGGATACTGCAAATTAACCTTAGTATACAACTTTTCCTCCCAGGAACACATGGGAATCCAAAACTTCAGAAAAGATTTAGCGAACTTTTTGTGTGGGGTAGCCATGCTTGTTTTTATTATGCATGTAATTGTTCCTAATATGGTAGGATGAAAATTCCCCGTAAAATACCACAAAATTACAGCAGTGACAGATGTATAATATTTGATCAGGACATCTTCTCATACTTTGGAACACTTCATCAGTAATTCAATCAGACTAAACACATGGCAAGCCTAAATGACAGGCTTCATTTCAAATTATGAAAATGGAACATTAAACTCAACTTACTGTCTGGACCTATAGATTATAAATAATCCTAGACAACAACTTTCTAATTGTCAACCTCTAAATTGTAGAAATTGCTGTACTCATCAGGATTGCAGTCTGGACGCTTCGAACAACCATTGTCCATTAGGCAATAAACGGTTTAGCATCATGCATGCTATTATTTCTTCAATAAAATTTAATATCACATGTTCAATGTTTATAAGTAATGCTTTCAATACATGCATAAAGGTGTATTTGGATTGGCAAAACATTCTCTGAAATAGAAAAACATTTCCAATTCTCCCTCGCGTTATTTTGAGAAAGGTACCTTTAAGTTAGTGTTTAAAGTGTTGAACACATCAAAAAATAACAGTTATGTCTACAATGCTACTTCCAACAAGTACATGTGAAACATCACTAAAGAAACCAGATTATAGGTGAGCAGTTACTCTTTATTTTTTGTGAATAAAATTTTGCCACTTAACATGGCCAATATAAACATTTTGGTGAATAGTCTGTTCTGACATCAGAATAAGTTACTCCTATTCTGGGTCACAAAAATGCTCCATATTCATGATTTTTTTTTCTAGCAAAATAACGTACACATTTGTATACAGAATGAAATAAACAATACATTAAAGAAAAGCTTTGGTCTCATAACCACTCAAAATACATGTAGAAATACTGAAATTTTAATATTTTGTAATGTGGTCTATACCGAGACTAGGGGGGAAAGTACAAATATAACTGAAATGATTTCTGTGGCAGAGAAAATTCAGCAAAACTTCTTTCCTATTCACCAATATTTTTAATTCATGAATTTTGGACCAAAAAGACATTTTGACATTTTAAGTAAACAGAGCAGGTTAACTTGGAAAAGGCACAACCGACAATAGCGATGCAAAGTACAAATGGCCACCATCTTGCACAGATTGAAACCTTAAGGAAACCTCAAGTATAGCCTGCAAAGACCACATGGTAGTTGTGCTTGAAGTCTTCACTTCTTAATGTACAACATAAAAGTGCATTGACATTTTACAGCTTCAGTGAATTGAAATTACTTTTCTACTCAAAAGATGACATTTACCAAGTGTATATCCAAACCTAGGACAAGTGATTGCATCATATGCAGTATGCATTAGAGATTGCCACTCAACTTATTACATTACTCGTGGTTCACAGTCTACAAAAGCTTTTGATTATCTTGTTTCGATACCAGGAATACAGAGATCTAACTTGTACCAAAACTGGTTGCCTTTGAAAGTTACGGAAAGTTTGTATAATATAAAAAATATACATTTTATTCTGACAAACAAAGCAGAAAATAATTGTGTGAAATATGGGTATGCGTATATTGGACAATGTATCCGAGGGACAGCCAAGGATAGCAATCGTGAAGATAAACAGGTTATAACACCACCACCCCCCACGACTCCCACTTTTTTTTACATGCTGCTAAATAGGCACAAGCGAGTTCAGTTAAGTAACGACCAGGGAACTCAACTTATTTTGTACTAATCCAAGCACTTATCCAGAATTTTAATCTTGATACAAGCTGTCATTTTCGCACAAATTCACAACCAAGTGGGGTTGAGAGGGATCTAATTGTACTTAAATGCATTAAAATGAAATATGTATCGCAACATGACAAAAAGATTAACGAAACAAAACAAAACCCATGGAAATGCAGGACACAACCAACAAGTACATATTGACAATTGTACAAATCGTGCAGGCATCAAAATATTAAAAACAGAAAGATGCAAAGTAATTTGATTCAGAATACGTGTGTGTAGATAACAACGATTTTTCCTTGGGGACACATTGCAGACAATTGCACATATGGTACACGAGGGACAGAAATCTTCATTTCCAGAAAAACATGGGAAGTCCACTTTAATAGCAAAGATCCTGAATTGAGTACTAGGAATAGTTTTGAGATTTGAACCCTCCCATCCCCACACCAATAATTCTTCGTTTTAAGATCAACCAGACATCCACATGGGTTCTGTGTATCATATGTTTAATACTTCTACAATTTAGAGTTGGCGACAACACAGCATACCTGGGGTTAGGTCAAATCAACAGTCAAATCAAATGGAATTGTCTCCAATATTTTGTTGGAAGTCTTTCAAATGATAATCAGCCATGAAGCAAATCTAATAAATTACAGCGCTCACCATTGTCAGACCAAGATTGAGGTAATTTTGGAAACATTTTGCTAAGTTGCACAAAACTTCTGTCTACCGATTGCAATAGGTAACACAAATTCATTTGTAAAACACTTCTACAAAAATATAAGCAATACCAAAAAATTGCAGAATGTACACAGATATTAAGCAATCTATCGATAACTATGACATTGACAGTCAAGTAACACCACTGTACAGCAAGAAACTGTCCATTGCATCGATCTTTCCACATTTGATAACTTTCAGCAAATCAATAAATTTAGTACCGTATTAGCTCCAATAGAATGCACATAAACCAGTAATTGCATGCTTGATCATTTAAATATGGTTCATTTTGATCACAGCCACATCTCATTTACATAAGTTTATCATAAGTTTATGCTACTAATAGAGCTACATGTAATACGGTATAGTGTTTTGTTCGAAACTGGGCATTTAATATTGCGATAATTAGTCAAGCAAAACAAGCTTATTAAATTTGCTCTTGGTGCGAAAAGTCGCAGGTATTAGATCAGGCACAGCCTGTATCATAAAAAAAAAAAGATGTATAAAGCATTTGATTGGACCCACTTGAGAAACTAAATCGAGGTATTTTTTACATATATATATATCACATTCAAGAAGTACAACTTTATGGTAGAAAATTGAAGGGTAACACATACTTGTTTACAGGTTTACTTTAAGAGATAAGCTATTCTTTTTTCTACGGAATGAGAATTGGATGATGCAAAAAAATAAATGAAAATATTGACTTTGTATAACATGAATAACAAGCATCAGCTGACTTTGGATAAAGATATTCAAAAATATGAACAAGGGGTTAGGGGAGAGGGCAATGATTTCATCTGACATTGGCCACAAATTGGGGCATACGTGTGCTAGCTACATGTACAACAACATGACTATGTCCTGTGATAGTTTTTACACTACGCTAACATTACTCAACTATTGCTTATCTGTGAATATATACAAATTGTTTGTGGCGGCCACAGCTATAATATTTTCTGATGGATGCCATGCAGTATGGAGTATCTTCTTGTTGAAATCTAAACTATCTACACTTATTTCGTCTTTCTTCCTCTTGCCCCCAGCACACACTCTTCGTGGTTTGAGCACTTGTTTGGGTTTTGCGTTCTCCCGCGATGCTTCAAGCGTTATGTCTCTCTTTGTGTTGCGGTCAAACATCCGGAAGAAATTGTTATATGAACCAGTCATTATAGCACTACAGAGAGATTAGAGACATGTCAGTTCACACACAGAACAATATAATTATACTCACTCAAATTTTTACATAAAAATGATTTGGACCACTGTAGCTAAATTGTAAATTTATAACAAATCCCTTTTATTAGTGCACTTGGGTTTTTCTAATACTTGGAATAAAATAACAAAATTAAAGATAAACCTACATAGAAAATTGGCTAGGTATCTTGCAGTGAGACCAAATAGCAGACCCAACCCATGGTGCACTGAACACAAATGTAGGTTAATCTATGCCCAGGTAGTAACACCATATAGAGTTTGTATAACAAAAGGAAGATACAAAGTATTAATATTAAATGCTCCATACAGTACATAACAATAGTCTTTGTCACTGGGCATATGAATCTAAAATCTTTTATTTTAACTCATTGGATACCAAAGTCAAATTTTGACCTTTTTTTTCAGAAAATAAACTTGAATTAATTTTTTTGAATCAAAAAAATAAAAACCTTTAAAATTATGCAGTCATCATAAAATAAAAAGTTTCGCTACTTACTTGTCGGTGCCATTCCATACGCATTCAAACTTATCAAATATACAGTCATTTTCATAAAGTGAACATAATTTACTACGAAGGTACTCGTGCACTTGGAAAGTTTCTACAGGTTTGGTATCCATGTGAAGGTCCCATACTTTAACTGACAAATAATCCCGCGATATCATGTAACGACCGCTATGACTAAACCTAACATCGGATATTGAGGAAATTATCTCGGAGAAAAAAGAACGATTACTAGGGTCTTCTGGTTCTTCAAATACTGTAGAGAAGAAAGAATAGTAGCGTTTACCGGAATGTATCAAGTATCACTCAAAAATATCACTTTTTACCAAAAATATTCACCAAAATTAGACAATTGAAGATATCATCACGAAATGAACAAATCTGAGAGAGGTCCACATGTAGTACCTACCTATATATGTAATATCAAAGCAACCGGACTTGCGGTCTTAACAAGAAGTCAAAAATATCACTTTTTACAAAATAAATGAATGCTTAATGTGAAGCATTATGCATGATTTATTGACATGATTAATTTGCATTTCTCGTTCCTTCATGAATTTGCATATTCTCGCGATAGTTCAGTTTCCCGCTATATTTGGTTGAGCTAGTTGAACTTCACAACTTGTATTTTCCAACTTTACGATCCCACCGCCATCCCCTTTTCACCACCAGGGGACTTCGCAATTACTTGTGCTCATTTATTCCCCAAGATAATCACTATAAGGTGCGTTTACAAAGTGTATTTACAATTTTGTTCAAGTGTTTTTATTACTAACATTTCAGTAACCATTCATGTGTAGTTGTGGTCCTCACCACCTCTACCACCTGCCCAGGTACAGCCACGCTGTCGTTATTTCTGTAGTTGCAGTTCCCACTGCCTCTACCTACCTAACCTTGTCATCACGTAGTTGTGGTTCTCATCGCTCTACCAATAACCATTTATGTAGTTGCAGTTCTCACTGCCTCTACCCCTAACTCACCTCTGGTAGGTTCGGTTCCCACTGTCCTACTACCACCTCATCTACTAACCACTAACCACTAACAGTTCTCACTGCAGTAACCTTTACAATATTTTGTAACTGTGTTTTAAGACTTGTAGTTTTTAATCTTGTTATTTGCTGTAAGTTTTCTACTTCTGCTTAGGGGGTCCACTGTGGTGCTTTCCATGTATACCAGTTTGCTTGCTACTGTTTCTGGCTTGTATCCCAAAGTTGCTAACAGTGGACCCCCCGATTTGCCAAAATAAATTTGTTCTATTTTAATGTACAACTTCAAGTGTTGTGTCATAAATCAAAAAAATAATCCTCAAAATTAGAGAATTTGAGATTTTGACATGAAATGAACAAATCTGAAAAAGAACCATCCAAGGTACTTGCATATCAAATTTGAAAACATTCTGACAAGCGGTTTCAAAGAAGTTGAAATTGTAAAGTTGAAATTGTAAAGTTAAAATTGTAAAGTTGACAACGACGGACGACAATCAGTAATATTGATAGCGGAGCTAAAAACAGAAAAGTGTAATCGTGTGCAAAATACTGTACCAAATATAGGGTGATCAAATCTTTCTAGTCCGTAAATGTAATTTGTAAAGACTCAATATACTTACTTTTGGCGTGTTGATCACATAATGCTTGTGCTCGCATATCGCATAGCCTAATTGTGCCTTTACTACTGCTATAAACAAATGTATTACATTCTTTAGGGTGAAACTCTGCTGCTGTGATAACTTCTGTTAATTCTTCCATATTGGCTGGCTTAATATCAACAATATCTGAGTGAAATTAAGGCAACAATAACGTATAGCATCAATTGCACAACACTATTTATGAAAGGAAAAAAAAATTTGGCATCAAAATTAAATAATTAGTAACATAATTAACATTCATGCAAATGAGGTAATTAATATGGATTTGTTTGAAATGAAAAGTTACTCATAAAATTAGAATGTTTTGAATGAAGATCTGATTAGGTAGTTATTTCATAAAGAGTGATCAAAGGCATGACAGCACAGATGCCCAAGTCGTGGATTTTTTTACTGTCAATGTTCACTCAATGTGCAATTTTTGATTCAGAATTGACATATTTAAGCACTTCATCAAGACGATCACATTTTGGGGCAAACACCAATATACTAGACTTGCTCACAATTCTTATTTTGTTTTTTTTCCACTATCTTATGTTTGCCATTCTCATTTTTTTTATTGTCAAAAAAAATAAGACTTGTAAGCAAGTCTACATGTATTATAGTAAACAATTTTTGTCAGCATTTGACTTGAGTGGATCCTGTCATGACACAGAATGGCGACTCCAAGACAGCACAAACTACATCATTTATGCATCGGAAAAGGATACTAAAGCTTTGGTCTGTAATTCCTAAAGACCATAAATTAATCCTAAGATCATCAGCAGATATATACGTTTCCCCATCACTATTTACAGATATTGAATTGATATGATAAGTATGAGCATTAGCAAATATTCTTCTAGGACTGGCCTCGACCATTAATTCCATGGGTTTAACTGCAGGAACCAACAAATTAGTCAGCCCCGAGTAGTCTCGATTACATCCATCCTCGTCTCGTAAATTGAAACCTTCCCACTGCTTGTCACGTTCCGACACTTTCCATAATTTAATCGTTTTATCTGCAAGGGAAAAAACACATGAAAATATAAACGTATAATCACCACTGAAGTGATTAAACAGTTTCATGTAATTTAAGAACCCAATAAATATGCAGCAAGGAAGTAATTTGAAATATCATTTTCATAAGTAGATTAACCATGGCATTAGGTGGCTGACAAGGTCCATATATTGACCATCAAGTAAGAAGTTTCAACTGATGACATTGACATTTTTTTTTCGTTATGTTTTTGTTAATGATTGAAATATATTTATCAGTCAGTCAGTTAAGTTATATTTTGGAATAGGGTTATAGCCAGCAAATGAAAGCCCATCTTAAAAACTTTAATTTGTAATTTACAGTGAATTTTCAATGAAAATCTGAAATTTTGCCTGTCAAAAAATTAAATTTTGTGCCTGTCCAAAATGACAAGACAGGTGGCTGGCTAAAAGGCTGTTTTGAATTGTCTGTTGGAGACAGAAAGACAAATCTTGAATGTTACTGCCACTTCTTTACAGAATCAAATATTCACTGCTACTATCTCTCCCCCTCTCCTGCCCTCCACTTCCACCCTGTCCCTAAATTTGCAAAAGTGAATCTGCCATGAAATATGTTTTACAGCATCAAACTTCAATTTAGCTGGTGAAAATATATCGCATAAATTGCAGTGTCAGGCACTGATTACACATTCAAATTACATGCCAATCAGGGCTTCTTTGAAGCCATATTTTTACTCAATTTTGAAAACATTAGATCGCGATCTTGAATTTTCAAGGTGAATGTTCAGGCAAAGCACTCCACTATCACCTTCAAGTATTTCATTAGAACTATGTGTATGTGACAATGCCCTCACAGTTTAGAATCAGTATATCAACAGCCAATCAGATTGCTTCTTTCATCAACACGCTTGGTCAAGCTATCAAAACAAATATGTCTGCGCACAGTGGTAGCTGTGTACTCACATATATTCAAACCAAAGCTATACTTCTGATGTGTTAGTCATACTTGAAGTGGTAAATCAGTAGATTATTATGCTTAACCGGCCTTGCAACCATCAAACTTGGTAATAGTGTTGTCAACACTCGAGTATTATGGAGGAGCAGGTGTTATACCTCAGAGCTCATGATGTCACTGCAACATATATCGGCAGAAATCAAAACTAAGACACCAGAAATGCAAAATTCCAAGTGCTTTTTGGCAGTCATTTGTAACAAAGCTTTCCATTGGGCAGTGACCTTTCTATCGCGCAACAACGCGACATACACGGTTATGAATTGAGTTACAGCACAGGGTTTAGGAGAGAGGAATGTCTGAATGGAACAACACCGTGCAGGCGGACGATGTAAATCGCTGAATCAGCTTTCCTTCAACATTGCTCTAGTAATAACAGAAATGATGATTAGCCATTTATAGCCATCTATAATAGTGTCACAATTTTTCCAAACTATGAGAGTAATTTATCAATGTCAACCAACCACAAAACCCAGAATGTGCATTGTATAAAATTTTGTATTAAACAAGTGTAAGAAATGCCAATTATGTGAACAGTCTGCTGATTATTAGTCTTCTATACAACATGGCATTCTATAATAGACTAGTTATTTGAAGAGGATTCCCAAGAACTATAATTTACAAGATCTGAACTCGTGCACATAAATTAATATTACTTGTCCTGCAGATTTCACAGTTTGATATTAATCCAATTCACATTTGTGAGTCAACCCTGCTGACACCTGTATGAATTTACATTAACATTTGAAATGGTACTTGCATGTACTACTACAAAAAGTGTCTTGCGCAAATGTTTAATACTATGACAGAGGAGTGTCAATATTAATTTAGAAAAGCTATCAAACAGAATAGTTGACATGTCAGCAGAACATTTATGATGACTAAGTAGTGAATATATTGATTTAAGGACCATGCTGATTTCACAATTACTAAATGCCAATATATCAATTTTTTCATAGAATTGGTGACTGACAGAGTTAAATTTAATAGTGTTTTTACATGTATTATCAGTAATAGTAGCAACGCAAGTGATTCACTGAGATGACAGAAACAGAACACACAAGTGTTGTGACCCTATGGTAGATTACTTTCAGAGTTTTATGTAATTATTCATATTTCTTTGATGTAAATGGGTTATCAATAAATGTGTAAATAAATAAATAAATAGTGTAGACAAGTCTTCATATTTGACACATCAATATTCAATGCACGAGAAACCATGACTAAATATTATTTGGATTAAATAACTGTATGTAGAGCCGGGCTGACATCAACTCTGGCCACTGTGTGTAGAGCCAGTCTGACATCAACTCTGGCCACTGTATGTAGAGCCAGTCTGACATCAACTCTGGCCACTGTGTGTAGAGCCAGTCTGACATCAACTCTGGCCACTGTATGTAGAGCCAGTCTGACATCAACTCTGGCCACTGTGTGTAGAGCCAGTCTGACATCAACTCTGGCCACTGTGTGTAGAGCCAGTCTGACATCAACTCTGGCCACTGTGTGTAGAGCCAGTCTG